CAGAATGGCAGATACTGTTGATGTTCCTACTGGAATACAGGAGATAGTGGCTAAATCAGAGTAGAACATGTCATGTAAAATCCCTTGAAACATTTAAAAAAGTTATCTTCTTAATTAAATGTGGATTAGTTCTTTGCCGCTTCGTATCTCTAATACATACAGGGGGGAAACAAATATTTAGTCAGCCACCAACTATGGCTGGCCATGCTTTCCACCTGGCTATCCCTACCCCGGCCACCAGCTCTGCACCCTCCGCTGCAACTTGCCCATGCCCCCCCCCCCCCCCGCTTCTCCTTCACACAAATTCAGATACAGTGGGGAAAAAAAGTATTTAGTCAGCCACCAATTGTGCATGTTCTCCCACTTAAAAATATGAGAGAGGCCTGTAATTTTCATCATAGGTACACGTCAACTATGACAGACAAAATGAGAAAAAGAAATCCAGAAAATCACATTGTAGGATTTTTAATGAATTTATTTGCAAATTATGGTGGAAAATAAGTATTTGGTCAATAACAAAAGTTTCTCAATACTTTTTTATATACCCTTTGTTGGCAATGACACAGGTCAAACGTTTTCTGTAAGTCTTCACAAGGTTTTCACACACTGTTGCTGGTATTTTGGCCCATTCCTCCATGCAGATCTCCTCTAGAGCAGTGATGTTTTTGGGGCTGTCGCTGGGCAACACAGACTTTCAACTCCCTCCAAAGATTTTCTATGGGGTTGAGATCTGGAGACTGGCTAGGCCACTCCAGGACCTTGAAATGCTTCTTACGAAGCCACTCCTTCGTTGCCCGGGCGGTGTGTTTGGGATCATTGTCATGCTGAAAGACCCAGCCACGTTTCATCTTCAATGCCCTTGCTGATGGAAGGATGTTTTCACAAAAAATCTCACGAAACATGGCCCCATTCATTCTTTCCTTTACACGGATCAGTCGTCCTGGTCCCTTTGCAGAAAAACAGCCCCAAAGCATGATGTTTCCACCCCCATGCTTCACAGTAGGTATGGTGTTCTTTGCATGCAACTCAGCATTCTTTGTCCTCCAAACACGACGAGTTGTGTTTTTACCAAAAAGTTATATTTTGGTTTCATCTGACCATATGACATTCTCCCAATCCTCTTCTGGATCATCCAAATGCACTCTAGCAAACTTCAGACGGGCCTGGAGATGTACTGGCTTAAGCAGGGGGACACGTCTGGCACTGCAGGATTTTAGTCCCTGGCGGCGTAGTGTGTTACTGATGGTAGGCTTTGTTACTTTGGTCCCAGCTCTCTGCAGGTCATTCACTAGGTCCCCCCGTGTGGTTCTGGGATTTTTGCTCACCGTTCTTGTGATCATTTTGATCCCACGGGGTGAGATCTTGCGTGGAGCCCCAGATCGAGGGAGATTATCAGTGGTCTTGTATGTCTTCCATTTCCTAATAATTGCTCCCACAGTTGATTTCTTCAAACCAAGCTGCTTACCTATTGCAGATTCAGTCTTCCCAGCCTGGTGCAGGTCTATAATTTTGTTTCTGGTGTCCTTTGACAGCTCTTTGGTCTTGGCCATAGTGGAGTTCGGAGTGTGACTGTTTGAGGTTGTGGACAGGTGTCTTTTTACTGATAACAAGTTCAAACGGGTGCCATTAATACAGGTAACGAGTGGAGGACAGAGGAGCCTCTTAAAGAAAAAGTTACAGGTCTGTGAGAGCCGGAAATCTTGCTTGTTTGTAGGTGACCAAATACTTATTTTCCACCATAATTTGCAAATAAACTCATTAAAAATCCTACAATGTGATTTTCTGGATTTTCTTTTCTCAATTTGTCTGTCATAGTTGACGTGTACCTATGATGAAAATTACAGGCCTCTCTCATCTTTTTAAGTGGGAGAACTTGCACAATTGGTGGCTGACTAAATACTTTTTTCCCCCACTGTACTATGGGACAATGATCACTGAGATCATATGCAAATACTCACTGTTGTGTCAGGCTAGTTTGGCACATTGTCTACCAGCCCAGTCTGAAAAGTACTAGCCTCGGGCTAGCTTCATTTCCATCCCTGCTGACACGTATAACTTACTTCACAAGTCATTTGATTAGTACAACAGATGCACTCGTGGACACACCTACTCATTCCAGGGTTTTTCTTTATTTGTACTATTTTCTACATTGTAGAATAATAGTGAAGACATCAAAACTATGAAATAACACATATGGAATCATGTGCAAAGCTGTCATCAAGGCAAATGGTGGCTACTTTGAAGAATCTAAAATCTAAAATATATTTTGATTTGTTTAACACCTTTTTGGTTACTACATGATTCCACATGTGTTATTTCATAGTTCTGATGTCTTCACTATTATTCTACAATGTAAAAAATAGTAAAAATAAAGAAAAACCCTTGAATGAGTAGGTGTGTCCAAACTTTTGACTGGTAGTGTAAGTATTCAGACCCTTTGCTATGAGACTCGAAAATTGAGCTTAGGTGCATCCTGTTTCCAATTATCATTCTTGAGATGTTTCTACAACTTGATTGGAGTCCACATGTGGTCAATTCAATTGATTGGACATGATTTGGAAAGGCACACACCTGTCTATATAAGGTCCCAAAGTTGACAGTGCATGTCAGAGAAAAACCAAGCCATGACGTTGAAGGAATTGTCCGTAGAGCTCCGAGACAGGATTGTGTCGAGGCACAGATCTGGGGAAGGGTACCAAAACATTTCTGCAGCATTAAAGATCCCCAAGAACACAGTGGCCTCCATCGTTCTTAAATTGGAACCACCAAGAGTCTTCCTAGAGCTGGCCGCCTGGCCAAACTGAGCAATCGGGGGAGAAGGGCCTTGGTCAGGGAGGTGACCAAGAACTCTGCCTTTTGGAAAACTCCAAGCGGGCTGTCATGTGCCTATTACTGAGGAGTGGCTTTCCGTCTGGCCACTCTGACAGAACCTTCCAGAAGGACAACCATCTCTGCAGCACTCCACCAGTCAGGCCTTTATGGTAGAGTGGCCAGACGGAAATGCATTTTGCAACGGAAACCGTTTACCATTTCAGAACCAAAACGGAAGCAAAACAAGAGTTTCTACTGAACAAATTCAGATAGGTCCCTCTCCGTTTTGTTTGCTTCCACTTAAGAAAAGTTTTGCAACAGAATCAGCGGAATGAATACACATCTAGTCTCCTGCGCCTGTGGCAGAGGCATCCATTCTACGGCCCGTGGGCCAATTGAAGCCCAGGAATAGTTTTTAAACGGCTTGCGACATTTATGAATTTATACAAAATGTGGCACTCAACGGTCCACGGTAGTGCTTTGAAACTATCTGACTAGGGGTGAAAAAACAGACTGCTGCAACCTGATTGGCTGAATGAGATATGCAACATCCAGAGACTAGCATTGGCCACTGTAGCAAGGTGGCGGAAAATGGTGTTTCATAAAGTACGCATATTTACCTTTTTTTCCTGCCTTTTTATTTTATTTAACCTTTATTTAACTAGGCAAGTCAGTCAAGAACAAATTCTTATTCACAATGACGGCCTACACCGACCAAACCCGGACGACGCTGGGCCAATTGTGCGCTGCCCTATGGGACTCCCAATCACGGCAGGGTTGTGATACAGCCTGGAATCTAACCAGGGTGTCTGTAGTGACGCCTCTAGCACTGAGATGCAGCGCCTTAGACCACTGCGCCACTCCGGAGCCTGCTTGCAATTAAATCGAGTTAAGGAGGAAAATCGACGCCTTTGCAGCCTGAATGGAGAATGGTTTATGTACGAACCGGTCAACAGGGTATAGGAGTGTATAGCCGACTGCATAGATCCCCTTTGGACGGTAAGGTAAAACAACTCAATATCGCCATCTGCCTTCGGGCTATGAAATATCTATGCAATTACAACAGTACTAACAACAATATTAATGTTATTACACTACAGTATTATGGCGTATAACAACTTAACTTACCCATCTGTCTACCGTTTGTGCTTGTAGTTTGATATTGAAGATTTTTCTTTGTCCCAAACCCAACGTCATCAACACCATACAAGTCCAGCATCCATTCAGGCTTTTTAGGTTTGAATGGGATAATAAGGTACAGTATATTTTCTTTAGTATCAATATAAGTCCTCAATTACACCACAAAGTATTACATCAAAACAATCCAATGGGAGTAACAGGGAACACTAATTCTTCCTCAGTAAGTGAATTGAAACACACTCATTAAACATGAGTAGGAATTTCGCCACTAGCATACACTTTATAGACTGGTTATTGACATTGTGTGGCCAGAAAGTATATAACACCTCAGGAAAGCTGACTTAGAACCTCCCACTGCCATCTAAACATTTTGGTCATGATAAGACAAGGCATGGTTATTTCTTTATAATGAAAGTGTGTGATTCAATTCTGGGTCCAGGAACATAGTCTCATGTGAAATTGTAAGATGTCTGTCTCAATTGTTTGGCAATTACTCTGCTGAAGATAGATCTATGGTTCAGAGGTAAAATGAAATGATACAACGCCATGATCATCAGTCATAAGGAGGAAACTGGGGCTACCTTCACGGGATCTGTTGAGCAACTTAAACTGTGTTAAAAAAGGCTAGGAGAAACCTGCTGGAATCGCTAGAAAGGTGGCTGTGAACCCAGGAGATGGAAACTAGGGTTGTGTTCATTAGGGCACACTGTAACAAAACGCTTAGCATTTCAGTTTCTCCCCATTTTTTCTATTTTCTTTAAAGCTTTCCACAGTCTAATTAAATAGACGCAAACGGGCCAAAACTGTGAGGTACTATCTGAACTTGTCCAATACGAAACTTGTTTTTGTTTTCCGTTGCATTATGTTTTAATACAGTGTGCCCTAATAAATACGGCCCATGTCGTCTTCGGACTGTCAGGCACCTATCTTTTTCATTCAACTTTATACTACTTGATCCCTTTACAAGTCATATTGAACCATGTACATCAATAAGTTCTGTGATCCACAAAATAACTGTCAATGTCAGTTTTACAACTGATTTAATATCTCTGTAATAACAAACTTGAAAATTCCAGAGCACAATTACACTTCCACATGTACAAGCGAGGGATACAACAAAATCCCATTCTTTAAAAATATAAAAATAAGACACTGGACACATGCTGTATGAAATGCAATAAATAGTTATAAAAATTAATGGAAAAAAATGGGCTGTGTTTAAAGAGAGGATTTGAAAATGGGAGTCCAGTCAAGATGGGCCATTTCTCCTCCATCTTCCTTCTAGTGTGACGCATGCATTATGATGCCTCAAAAACAGTGTGACCCAATGACTTTTCTTGTGGGGCCTTCTTCAAAAGGTTTCTGCTCCCAACTGAGGTTGAGGTTGAGGTACATTGCTACTGTTACAGCTAATGTCCGGTATCTGGTCTGCAAACGACTGTGTCATCCACTGGTCGTATGGCACGTGGCGCAATGCTGTAGCTTGGGCTTGGTCCTTACTGGGCATTCCTGAAAGGAGTAAAATAATATATATATTCAGACATAAAATGGTATCAGTACGTTCATCCTACTCTGGGGAAGTAGATAAAGAGCTTCATTGCCCAAATCCTGAAGTATCCCTTTAACAAACCGAAACCTGTACGAATAGTGATGGTAAGTTGTTAATCTTTAGGGTCTATTTCTCGATCAGCCTCATCAGATGGCCCATGTGCACTAACGAAAGTCAAAAACACAAGCACTCGTCTTCAGAAACCTGCTCTCACCGGTCTCTTTGGTGGAGGAAATGTTGCAGTAGCTGGTGCTTTGCCTTGCCTCCTGGCCACAGGTCTCGTACTCAGGATCCACCTGCTCCTCCTTGATGGCCATCCTCTTAGCATCCTCTGTAACGCAGTCATACAGGAAATACAACGTTACTCATCTTCAACACTGAACTGCCTTGAGAAACGATTGACAATCTAGAGCGCATACCCTCATTTAACCGAACGACAATATAATTTGCATAACATTAAGGGTATTACGGCCTTGTCAATGGCATTATATTCAGTATATATCACAGATTCAGTTAACGGCTTTCTCATGTTCGTTCTGAAATAGCAACATGAACGAGACTTTGAAGTGTGGCAATGCGAGTAACTCCGGCATGACCATTATTTTACCTTTGGCAAGTCCCAGGTCGAAGTGGTACTCCGTCTCTTGTACCTCGCGGGCCACTGGGGGTACACCCTTGATCTTGTCCCGTAGCTCCTTCAGCTTGATGTAGAAGTGAACCTTGTCCTGAGCGCGGGGGAACTGGGCACAGCGGGGGCTTGACGAGGGCATCAAGTAGCACACCTGGGGTGTATTCAATGAGGAAGACATTCGCGACGTTGCAGGTAGAAATGTGTGGAGCCGGCATGACTCCCAGCTCTACGTGACATACGCTAAACTTGATCTACAATACATTTCTGAAAATTCTATAACGTTGCACCCTCTTGAACAGACCCCAAAACAACAGCCAATGAGAGAATGGATACAAACATGTGCAACTAGTTACTATACTGAACAAAAATATAAACGCAACATGCAACAATCTCAAAGATTTTTACTGAGTTACAGTTCATATAAAGGAAATCAGTCAATTGAAATAAATTCATTAGGCCCTAATCTATGGATTTCAGATGACTGGGAATACAGATATGCCTGTTGGTAAAACAAACAAAAAAGATAGGGGCGTGGATCAGAAAACCAGTCAGTATCTGGTGTGACCACTATTTGCCTCATGCAGCGTGACACATCTCATTCACATAGAGTTGATCAGGCTGTTGATTGTGGCCTATGGAATATTGTCCCACTCCTTTTCAATGGCTGTAAAAAGTTGCTGGATATTGGCGGGAACTGGAACACGCTGTCGTACATGTCGATCCAGAGCATCCCAAACATTCTCAATGGGTGACATGTCTGGTGAGTATGCAGGCCATGGAAGAACTGGGACATTTTCAGCTTCCAGGAATTGTGTACAGATTCTTGCGACATGGGGCTGTGCATTATCACGACTCCAACATCATCATTAAGTTTGGCGACAACACAACAGTGGTAGGCCTGATCACCGCCAACGATGAGACAGCCTATAGGGAAGAGGTCAGAGACCTGGCTGTGTGGTAACAGGATAACAACCTCTCCCTCAACGTGACCAAGACAAAGGAGATGATTGTGGACTACAGGGAAAAAAAGAGGACTGAGCACGCCCCCCATTCTCATCGACGGGGCAGTAGTGGAACAGGTTGAGAGCTTCAACTTCCTTGGTGTCCACATCACCAACAAACTAACATGGTCCAAACACACCAAGACAGTCGTGAAGAGGGCACGACAAACCCTATTCCCCCTCAGGAGACTGAAAAGATTTGGCATGGGTCCTCAGATCCTCAAAAAGTTATACAGCTGCACCATCGAGAGCAACCTGACTGGTTGCATCACCACCTGGTATGGCAACTGCTCGGCCTCCGACCGCAAGGCACTACAGAGGGTAGTGCGTACGGCCCAGTACATCATTGGGGCCAAGCTTCCTGCCATCCAGGACCTCTATACCAGGCAGTGTCAGAGGAATGCCCTAAAAATTGTCAAAGACTCCAGCCACCCTAGTCATAGACTGTTCTCTCTGCTACCGCACGGCAAGCGGTACCGGAGCACCAAGTCTAGGTCCAAAAGGCTTCTTAACAGCTTCTACCCCCAAGCCATAAGACTCCTGAACAGCTAATCATGGCTACTCGGACTATTTGCATTGCCCCCCCACCCCAACCTCCTCTTTTATGCTGCTGCTACTGTTTATTATTTATGCATAGTCACTTTAACTCTACCCACATGTACATATTACCTAAATTACCTCGACTAGCCGGTGCCCCTGCACATTGACTCTGCACCGGTACCCCCCTGTATATAGCCTCGCTACTGTTATTTTATTTTACTGCTGCTCTTTAATATCTTCTCTTTTCAATTTTTTACTGATCTATTTTTTACTTTTTTATTTTCTTATAAACTGCATTGTTGGTTAAGGGCTTGTAAGTAAGCATTTCACGGTAAGGTCTACCCCTGTTGTATTCGGCGCATGTGGCAAATAAAATGTGATTTGAAACATGAGGGGATGACAGTATATGAATGGCATGACAATGGGCCTCAGGTACTTGTCACAGTATCTCTGTAAATTCTAATTGCCATCGATAAAATGTAGTTGTGTTCGTTGTCCGTAGCTTATGCCTGCCCATACCATAACCTCACCATGGGGCACTCTGTTCATAATGTTGACATCAGCAAACCGCTCGCCCACCCGACGCAATCTGCGGTTGTGAGGCCGATTGGAGGTACTGCCAAATTCTCTAAAACGATATTGGAGGAGGCTTATGGTAGAGAAATGAACATTCAATTATCTGGCAACAGCTCTGGTGGACAGTCCTGCAATAAGCATGCCAATTGCACGCTCCCTTAAAACTTGAGACATCTGTGGCATTGTGTTGTGGGACAAAACTGCACATTTTAGTGGCCTTTTATTGTCCCCAGCACAAGGTGCACCTGTGTAATGATCATGCTGTTTAATCATTTTCTTGATATGCCACACCTGTCAGGTGGATGGATTATCTTGGCAAAGGAGAAATGCTCACTAACAGGGATGTAAACAAAGTTGTGCACAAAATGAGAGATAAGCTTTTTGTGCGTATGGAAATGTTCTGGGAACTTGTATTTCCGCTCATGAAACATGGGACAAACAATTTATATGTTGCGTTTATATTTATTTTCTGTGTATTTTGGTAAAACTACTTACAGTTTCGGTTTCTGGGATTTTGTACGGCTGTAAGCCAAACTCGAGTTTCTTTGCCTTCACTCCAAAGATCTCTTTGCTGAAAATTTCGTAAATACCTGCCAAAGAAGAGCAATGAAAATAATATCATCATGAAATTATGTAGGTCTCAAGCTTTTGTCGATATGACAAGTATTTCAGTTTTATCTGTAAAAGACAAAACAAACTATAATAGTAATTGCTGATATCACATCACCTCTTGCACATCTATCATTCCAGTGTTAATACTAAATTGTAATTATTTTGCACTATGGCCTATTGCACTATGGCCTATTTATTGCCTTACCTCCATAACTTGCTACATTTGCACACACTGTATATATATTTTCTGTTGTATTTTTGACTTTATGTTTTGTTTTACCCCATATGTAACTCTGTGTTGTTGTTGTTTTTTTAATCGCACTGCTTTGCTTTATCTTGGCCAGGTCGCAGTTGTAAATGAGAAATTGTTCTCAACTGGCTTACCTGGTTAAATAAAGGGGAAATAATACAAAAACATATACGGTATATAAAATCTGCTCACATTTTCCATTGAAAGCTGCGATTAGTGGCTTGTATTTCTTCAGCTTCTCTACCAACTGCCGGCCTCCTTCACGAAACTCTTTGCTGTGGAAACAGTAACAACGTTAGCCTAGACAATGAACAACCAATAATCATGACGACAATTCTAAACTAGAAAGAAAATGCATCATGGATGTTTAATGACATCTGTGCTTTTTTTTATTACTATAACTTCTAACTATTATTATGGCACGTTAAATAACATACGCTTGACAATTACTATACTTTTTTTTTTTTTTTTTTTTTAAGGGTTTGACACCTTGAGAGGTCTTTGCTTCCTGGCGTTGTTCTCTCCACCATGTTGGTAAAGCCAATGCCATACTTCTCCGGTAGGCTCAGATCGTGCGTGTGGTTGAGCTGCTCATCAGTGAGACCAGAGAGGAACAGGCATTTCCCTAAGGTCCAAAACAAGAACAAGCTCAATCACTTTTATCATAACGTTACTAACAACATGGGTTCGTGTTCACTAGGCACGAAACGGAAGGAAGCGTTCTCAAACGAGTTAAAGAGGGAGGTACCGTCTCATCTTGTCCAACAAGAACAGTTTGTTTTTGTTTTCTGTTGCACAATGTTTTGCTACGCTGTGCCCTAATGAACATGACCCTAATCAGGCAGTCAGTATGTGGTATTACAGTATTTACATTTCATTTACATTTACGTCATTTAGATTCTGTATGTATAGAAATAGAAGTGATTATACTGAGTGCTACATACAAAAATGGTTTCCTGGGTTTGGGTAATGTCGTCCCTTGTAGGCTGACAACAGTCCTGGATTGATACCAATCTGAGAAAGGGATCATAAAATACCTTATTATTGCAACATGCTAGAGAATGAAGAGTCATTTTAGATTTGATTCAAATCCACAACACATGTAATACATGGGTTTAATCTAATGAAAAGTTGTTTGATCGATCCATGGGCTATCATTAGGGTAGAATGGTGTTTGATCCATGGGTTATCAATAGGGTAGAATGGTGTGTGATCCATGGGCTATCATTACAGTAGAATGGTGTGTGATCCATGGGCTATCATTAGGGTAGAATGGTGTTTGATCCATGGGTTATCATTAGAGTAGAATGGTGTTTGATCCATGGGCTATCATTACAGTAGAATGGTGTGTGATCCATGGGCTATCATTAATAATGGTACAGATAAAACAAATGTAGCCAAACTTTACATCAACAGTCATACTCAACATTCCCACTCTGAAAATGTCACAAATTAAATGACGTCAACACTCACTATCAAAATGTCCAGGTTGTGGTCAATAATGTCTGGCAGGGTTTTGGCCATAACCTCATCCACTGACATGCCATTGAAACGGTTAAGGGTCCTTTTGGCTTTCTTCAGGGCCTCTGCCTGATCGTAGTCTTCCTGCGGTTGGCCCTCCCCCGGCTTCTGTTTCGGAGGCCGACCTCTCTTTCTCTTCCCTGGCGTCGGAGCTAAAAGAGAAAATTAACAAGTTTGAGGGGAATCCATTTGAGGCGAGGTTTAGAAATCGCTCATCTTGATCACATAATGAGTGGAAATCTGGAAAGAAAAGGGGATTTATAAATCAGTGATCCTGTGCAGTCCGACTGCAAACAGTCAATCTCAGACAAGCCCAATGATTCTGTGAAGGGTGCTGGACAAATATAATTGAATTGATTAGTGGAAAAGCACTGCATGAGGACAGGTCAGTTCATGTTAATACCAGGGTGGTGGGGACTGGGGAAATGTGTGCACGTGGAGGAGAGCACAGCGACAAATAGAGCTGTGCAAATATTTACCACGCAAACATGGCAGACGGCATGGCTAAGTAGGGGGAGGGCGGTCATCACATACCTTGTGATGTATCCACAGGCTGATCGTGTTGGACGATTGGCTCTTGGTGGAAGTCATGATGGAAGTCCAGCTCTTGGTGGACAGGGAGGTCCTGGTGAACAGACAGCTCCGTCATGACCCGGTCCTCTCTGGATCCCTCCATGTAATGACTGATATGACCCGTGTTATGGTACTGCATCACATGTTGAGCTTGGGGGTGCTGCTGGGTGGACTGGTACCTACAGGTCCAGAAGACAAAGGAACAGACTGGGGTGACACCATCTTCTTTTGTTTTCAATGGGGTTTGTCCAGAGAGGTGACAGAACGGGAGGCAAAGAAATTACACACAATGGACTGAGGGTACATAGAGAAATGGTTCATGCTCCTAGGAACCCAGTATATGAGTTTACATCAACAAATATGACAGCAACCTTCATAGAATAATTTTTTTCACACACATTGGTTTGACGTCTCGTGTTTCCTGGTCTGAAAACATTCATGGCCCTACTCTTGGGCCAATTATTTGATATGGGTGTGTGCTATTAATGATCATGTTGTAAGTATGCATATTTTTAAGGTCTAGGATTACTTTAGTTAAATGTAAATGGCCTATTAATGACGTGTTGCCTCATACTCTGAATCCACAGAGTAACTTTGCATATAAACTTCCAATCCGTTTTTTTTTCTTTGCAAATATTTATTTAATCATGTATACCATGTAGAGATGTCTGCTTGTCTGCCCTTCTTCCTGTCTGTCTTCACAGGACCAGAATTGCATCTTAATCTTAAAAATACAGTGTTGCAGGAAGAAGCATGCTTTGTCTGATGATGATGATGATGATGATACATAGCCTACTGTAGGCCTTGGCGATAGGAACTGTTTTGTCAGTTGTTGCAAAATGCCCTTTATTTCATACATGTTGATGGAGACCTAAAACACTGACACTCCACAACAATTGTATTTTATGCAAAACCTCCAACACCAATGTGTTCGGAGGACAACTCACCACTGTTGGAGATAATCCGTAGGAACCGTCAGTGACGTATACTGCTTTTCTTCCATCTTTACGAGGATTTACTTCAATAAATTAATATTCATGTTGCTGTTAGCTACAATTATATGCCTTTACGCTTTAATTTACCACAGTAGGAGTATTGGTAAACTATCGGCCTTTAGATTTGGCAAACTGATTGTTATCACAACACCACAAAGACGTTTGGTGGTAGGAAGGGCTACAGACAACTAACATTCATTCTAGCTACTAAACAAGCTTGCTGGATAATTGCAAGGGGGGTATCTAAACGTGCTAATGAAATAGACGTTGAGTAGAGACATACCTGTTACACATATGTTTAGAATTCCTTTTTCAGAAAATGTACCGATTGAGGGCGATCAACGAACCCAAAACAAAGACCATTTAGGAACATTGGGGTGAACCGTCTTTTCAGCTTATTGTTGGCTTTACCCTAACAAAAGTATTTGCGTTGTCGCCACCTACTGGGTTGGAGTGTAGATCTGAGCCAACATCATTTTGCCCTTTGCGTCATTAATCCATTCAAATTAAATCAAATTGTATTGGTCGCATACACATATTTTGCAGATGTTATCGCGGGTGTAGCGAAATGCTTATGTTCCTAGCTCCAACAGTGCAGTAATACCTAACAATACAAAATAATACACGCAAATCCCAAAAAAATAATATAAAGGAATTAAGACATAAAGCAATATTAGAACGAGCAATGTCAGAGTCCGTAATATAAATATATATGTATATGATGGTGTGTATAGACCTTATGGACAGTATATGAATAGAAAAGTTGTGTACAGCAGTAGTTATATTGGATGAGCCTTGACTAGAATACAGTACATACATATGAAGTGGGAAAAACAGTATGTAAACTTTATTAATGTCACCAGTGTTCAATGATATATGTCCATAGGGCAGCAGTCTCTAAGGTGCAGGGTCGAGTACCAGCTAGTAACAGTGACTAAAGTTCAGGGCAGGGTACTGGGCGGAGGCCGGCTAGTGGTGACTTTTTAACAGTCTGATGACCTGGAGAAGTCCCACCTGTACTGTCTCCATCTTCTAGATAGTAACGGGGTGAACAGGCCGTGGCTTGGGTGGCTGAGATCCTTGATGATCTTCTTGGCCTTCCTGTGACACCGGGTGCTGTAGATGTCCTGGAGGGTAGGCAGTGTGCCCCCGGTGATGCGTTGGGCAGACTGCACCACCCTATGGAGAGCCCTGCGGTTGCGGACGGTGCAGTTGCCTTACCAGGCTGTGATACAGCCCGACAGGATGCTCTCAATGGTGCATCTCTAAAAGCTTGTGAGGGTCTTTGGGGCCAAGCTGGATTTCTTCAGCCCCCTGAGGTTGAAGAGGCGCTGTTGCGCCTTCTTCACCACACTGTCTGTGTGGATGGACCATTTCAGGTTGTCAGTGATGTGCACGCCAAGGAACTTGAAGCTTTTCACCCTCTCCTATGCGGCCCGTCGATATGGATGGGGGCGTGCTCCCTCTGCGGTACATGTATTTTTGGGGTTTATTAGGGATCCCCATTAGTTCCTGCCAAGGCGGCAGCTACTCTTCCTGGGGTTTATTATGGATCCCCAATTAGTTCCTGCCAAGGCAGCAGCTACTCTTCCTGGGGTTTATTATGGATCTCCATTAGTTCCTGCCAAGGCAGCAGCTACTCTTCCTGGGGTTTATTATGGATCCCCATTAGTTCCTGCCAAGGCAGCAGCTACTCTTCCTGGGGTTTATTATGGATCCCCATTAGTTCCTGCCAAGGCAGCAGCTACTCTTCCTGGGGTTTATTATGGATCCCCATTAGTTCCTGCCAAGGCAGCAGCTACTCTTCCTGGGGTCCAAACACATTGAGGCACTTACATTACACATAAAACAAAAGATAAAACAGTACATCATATAACATTATTACACCACTACATATCTACAATACAATACCACCATACAACAATATTACAATGTACGTGTGTGTAGAGTGCGTGTACTAGCGTGTGTGTGTGTGTATGTGTGTGTGTGTGTGCGTATGTGTGTGTCTGTAACTGTGTGTGTGTCTCTTCACACCTGTTGTTCCATAAGTTGTATTTTGATCTGTTTTTAAAATATGATTCTACTGCTTGCATCAGTTACCTGATGTGGAATAGAGTTCCATGGAGTCATGGCTCTATGTAATACTGTGCGCCTCCCATAGTCTGTTCTGGACTTGGGGATTGTGAAGAGACCTCTGGTGGCATGTCTTGTGGGGTATGCATGGGTGTCCGAGCTGTGTGCTAGTAGTTTAAACAGACACCTTGGTGCATTCAGCTTGTCAACACTTCTTACAAAAACAAGTAGTGATGAAGTCAATCTCTCCTCCACTTTGAGCCATGAGAGATTGACATGCATATTATTAATGTTAGCTCTCCGTGTACATTTAAGGGACAGCCGTACTGCCCTGTTCTGAGCCAATTGTAATTTTCCTAAGTCCCTCTTTGTGACACCTGACCACACGACTGAACAGTAGTCCAGGTGTGACAAAACTAGGGCCTGTAGGACCTGCCTTGTTGATAGTGTTGTTAAAAAGGCAGACTAGCGCTTTATTAGGGACAGACTTCTTCCCATTTTAGCCACTGTTGTATCAAAAAATGTTGACCATGACAGTTTACAAAAAAGTAAGGGGCCTAGACAGCTGCCCTGGGTAATTCCTGATTCTACCTGGATTATGTTGGAGAGGGTTTCATTAAAGAAAACCCTCTGTGTTCTGTTAGACAAGTAACTCTTTATCCACAATAAAGCATGGGGTGTAAAGCCATAACACGTACATTTTTCCAGCAGCAGATTATGATCGATAATGTCCAAAGCCAAAATGAAGTCTAACAAAACAGCCCCTACAATCGTTTTTTATCATCAATTTCTCTCAGCCAATCATCAGTCATTTGTGTAAGTTCTGTGCTTGTTGAATGTCCTTCCCTATAAGCGTGCTGAAAGTCTGTTGTCAATTAGTTTACTGTAAAATAGCACTGTATCTGGTCAAACACCATTTTTTCCAATAGTTTACTAAGGGTTGGTAACAGGCTGATTGGTCGGCTATTTGAGCCAGTAAAGGGGACTTTACTCTTGGATAGCGGAATGACTTTTGCTTCCCTCCAGGCCTGAGGGCACACACTTTCTAGTAGGCTTAAATTGAAGATACAGCAAATAAGGGTGTCTCCTGAAGTCCACGATTAGTGCCTTCATTTTGTTGAAGTTGAGGGAGAGGTCATTTTCCTGGCACCGCTCCGCCAGGGCCCTCACCTCCTCACTGTAGGCTGTCTCGTTGTTGTTGGTAATCAGGCCTACAACTGTTGTGTCGTCTGCAAACTTGTTGATTGAGTTGGAGACGTGCATGGTCACGCAGTCATGGGTGAACAGGGAGTACAGGAGGGGGCTGAGCATGCACGCTTATGAGGCCCCTGTGTTGAGGATCAGCGTAGCGGAGGTGTTGTTGCCTACTTTCACCACCTGGGGTCGGCCCGTCAGGAAGTTCAGGACCCAGTTGCACAGGGAAGGGTTCAGACACAGGGCCCCAAGCTTGGTCATGAGCTTAGAGGGCACTATGGTGTTGAAGGCTGAGCTGTAGTCAATGAACAGCATTCTGACGTAGGTATTCCTCTTGTCCAGATGGGATAGGGCACTGCAATGGCGATTGTGTCATCCATGGATCTGTTGGGGCGGTGTGCAAATTGTAGTTTGTCTAGGGTGTCGGGTAAGGTGGAGGTGATATGATCGATCCTAAACTAGCCTCTCAAAGCACTTCATGATGACAGAAGTGAGTGCTACGGATTGATAGTAATTTAGTTCAGTTACCTTCGCTTTCTTGTGTATAGGAATAATGGTGGACATCTTGAAGCAAGTGGGGACAACAGATTGGGATAGGGAGAGATTGAATATGTCCGTAAACACTCCAGCCAGCTGGTCTGCAACATGCTCTGAGGACTTGGCTAGGGATGCCATCTGGGCCAGCAACTTGCGAGGGTTAACAAGCTTAAATGTTTTACTCATTCTATGTAGGTTATCTACATCATGTCGGTACATTTGTCATTGTAATACGCGTTGAGCAGAATGAAAAAGTAGTTTAAGAATTTCACCAATAGCTAGAAAATCCATCTCTCGAAAATGGAACGATAGGTGGCGGTAGCGCGCCAATAATGTTACCCACACCGGTAACATAGCTAACATTTACATTTACATTTACATTTACATTTTAGTCATTTAGCAGACGCTCTTATCCAGAGCGACTTACAGGAGCAATTAGGGTTAAGTGCCTTGCTCAAGGGCACATTTACGTCATTTAGCAGACGCTCTTATCCAGAACGACTCACCAATTGGTGCGTTCACCCTATAGCCAGTGGGATAACCACTTTACAAATTTTTTTTGGGGGGGGGGTAGAAGGATTACTTTATCCTATCCCAGGTAATCCTTAAAGAGGTGGGGTTTCAAATGTCTCCGGAAGGTGGTGAGTGACTCCGCTGTCCTGGCGTCGTGAGGGAGCTTGTTCCACCATTGGGGTGCCAGAGCAGCGAACAGTTTTGACTGGGCTGAGCGGGAGCTATGCTTCCGCAGAGGAAGGGGAGCCAGCAGGCCAGAGGTGGATGAACGCAATGCCCTCGTTTGGGTGTAGGGACTGATCAGAGCCCGAAGGTACAGAGGTGCCGTTCCCCTCACTGCTCCATAGGCAAGCACCATGGTCTTGTAGCGGATGCGAGCTTCAACTGGAAGCCAGTGGAGTGTGCGGAGGAGGGGGGTGACGTGAGAGAACTTGGGAAGGTTGAACACCAGACGGGCTGCGGCATTCTGGATGAGTTGTAGGGGTTTAATGGCACAGGCAGGGAGGCCAGCCAACAGCGAGTTGCAGTAGTCCAGACGGGAGATGACAAGTGCCTGGATTAGGACCTGTGCCGCTTCCTGTGTAAGGCAGGGTCGTACTCTCCGAATGTTGTAGAGCATGAACCTGCAGGAGCGGGTCACCGCCTTGATGTTGGCGGAGAACGACAGGGTGTTGTCCAGGGTCACGCCTAGGCTCTTCGCACTCTGGGAGGAGGACACAGCGGAGTTGTCAACCGTGATGGCGAGATCATGGAACGGGCAGTCCTTCCCCGGGAGGAAGAGCAGCTCCGTCTTGCCAGGGTTCAGCTTGAGGTGGTGATCCGTCATCCATACTGATATGTCTGCCAGACATGCAGAGATGCGATTCGCCACCTGGTTATCAGAAGGGGGAAAGGAGAAGATTAGTTGTGTATCGTCAGCGTAGCAATGATAGGAGAGGCCATGTGAGGATATGACAGAGCCAAGTGACTTGGTGTATAGGGAGAAAAGGAGAGGGCCTAGAACTGAGCCCTGGGGGACACCAGTGGTGAGAGCACGTGGTGCGGAGACAGCTTCTCGCCACGCCACTTGGTAGGAGCGACCGGTCAGGT